GGAAAGGACAACGTAAAAAGAATTTGTATCATACTATAGTGGTAGCCAATCAGTAAAAAGCACAAAAAAGTTGGAAGGGAAGTCTGCAGTTCTCATCTAACTTATCACAAAATGGTAAGGCACTGGTGATATAAGCACTGGACTTCTCACTGTCTGAATGTCTACTAGGATCTGAGATGCAGCTCTATCCCATTGTGAGATTACTTCAAATTCTTATTGTTCACATAACATCTTTAAAATATCCCATCTGAAATTTGCATTGATTGGTCTTAGTTTGTTCTCAGTAGTTGCATAGAATAAATCCACTCATTGAATGATTACTCCATTTATTCATATTACCTTGGATGCTTACCATGTACAATGTAGTGGCCAGACATAAGCCTCATGTTCCAGGAGCTGACATGTTAGCAGGAGATTGACACATACATACATAAGGCACCTATTGTATATGCCACATGAGCAGTGTAAATTCAGTGCTGTGAAAATGAGGATGAAGAATAATAGGGAGAGGTCAGGTCCTGAGGCATGGCCAGTGCTACTGTCTGAATTTTTTTTCTTCCTAAAATTTGTATGTTGAAATCCTGACCCTAAAGGTGATGGCATTTGGAGGTGGGACTTTGGGGAAGTGATGAGATCATGAGCAGAGCCCTCATGCATGGTATTAATGCCATTAAATGAGAGTCCCTAGAGAGGCCCTCACTGATTCTACCATGTACTATTACAGCACAAAGGCAGCCATCTAGGAAGTGGGCCCTCACCAGATACTGAATCTGGTAGCACCTTGGTCCTGGATTTCTTAGCCTCCAGAACACATTTCTGAAATAACTTAGGAGACCTGGAAAAATAGAGTCAGACCCCACTTAGGTTAATTAAATTGGTAATTTATTTTACCTGCTGCAGGGGCTGCTGCTCTGAGAGACAGTCAGAGCCCAGCTGTGAGGGTGAGTTACCTTTTATAGGCTTTGTGTAAGCATATTACAGAAGTGAAACATGGCTGGTTAAGGGGGGTTACAACTCAGGTAGTCATAGATATAGCAATGGAACAATAATTAATGCAGTTTCAGTTGACAATGGATACATTTTATATCACAATGGTTATGGTTATACAACAGTAATTAATCAAGTCTCAGTGAGTTTTCCACCATTGTTCATCTACTGAGAACTTGGGGGTTTTGTGAAACTTGGGACTTTTTTCCCTTGTACCTGAAGCTTGTTCTTGGCAACCCTGGGGGAAGAAGGGTGCCTGGGAACGTGGCTGGGAAGCACGTTCTCAGCCACCCTGGGGGGAGGAGGGACTTGCCTTGTTCCTGGAGTCAACTCTGGAGGGAGAAGGGAGGAGGAGGGGGGAAATGGGCTGGGGGGGGGTGAGGGGGGATAGGTAAGAGTGGTGGTGGAGGGAACAGGTGAGGGCTGGGGAACAGGAGTGGGCAGGGGAAAGAGGGCTGGGTTACAACAATTTCTATTATTTATACGCTACTAAGTTTGCCAGAATGAGCTAAGGCAGTCAGAAAATACATCATGGAGAAGGTGGCATTTAGAGCTTTTTTGTTTGATGGTTTGAGGTCAAAGGGCAGAGATTTGGGTGTAGAGGTTGGAAGGTTACAGTGTTAGGGAAGTGATGGGTGGTTTAGAGCTTAAGAGTTTAAAGTGAAGAGTGGGAGACAGAGTTAGAAAAACTGTTGAACTGAGTGTGAAGACTGTGAGGGCTTTGTGTGCCCAGACTGGAGGGTAGGTGAGAGAAGCAGTGGGAACAGCACTGTGACAGTGGCATTCACACCATCTCACATGGCAGGCTGCAGAGTTTGAGGACTATCCAGTGAGGCAGGGCAGAGCCCTGGGGCTGAGTGCTGAGCAAGTGACATTTGTGTTTAGTGCGGTAACTCTGGTGGCAGGAAACAGTGGGCTTGAGTGACATGCCCCATGCGTATGGTGGCCCCTGCAGTGGAAGCACTGAGTGATGGTTGTGCGACCAGCATGCAGTGGCACAGCCCTGGAAACTGCCTACTGTGTACCTTGAGAGAGCATTTCCTTTCCAGGCGCCACATCTGCATGTGCTTCTTGTCCTTGGGCAAACCCCTTTAGCACCTGCAAATGGCTTCAAATAATTGTGGTAGAGAGTTCCAAGATCCAGATAACTGTAGAGAAATGTCTTGGGTTGATGCCTCAGCCCCAGTGAGGACTACATGCAGGCGAGGCATGGATCATGAGAGAAACTCCAAGAATTCTCTGAGATAAAGGTGTGTGCACACATGAATCTAAATTTAATAGCTTTCAACAGGGGTTTATGTGTGCTTACACAGTTCCTTTTATTTTTCCTTATTTCTTTTGTTATTGAGTTGTTCTTTATTTTATTTTATTTATTTATTTTTGCTCTAACTTGAAAAGAGGGGCTGCGCTATGCAGAGGAAGTGCAGTGAGAAGGGTGACTGCACCTGGCTGACAGGTGCAGATGCGAGTTGGTCTGTGGCTCACAAAATCAGGCCATTTGCTGAATGAAGCATCATTAGCAGTTTTCTAACCTGTCTTCCCACATAATCCTGATATTTGCATTTACTTCTAGACTTCATAATCATTCTCCCTTATTTTGCATGTATTTATGGAGTACCTCTGTTCTAGGTGCTGGGCTACAGTAGTGAACAAAATAGCCAGAGATTCTTGCCCTCTTGGCTTACCCAGCAAGAGGAGATAGTCAATAAATACATAATAAATAAATATATGAATTATACAGTATGCCAGAGGGAGATACATGATATTTGAAAAAGAAATAGAGAGGATAGACGGGAACAGGATTACCAGGGAGTAGGGAGGGGGTCAACTTGCAATTTGAGATAGAGGGTTCAGGCTGTCTTCCCCAAGAAGGTAACATTTGAGCAAAGACTTGCAGGTGAGGGAACTAGGTAGACAGGTATTTGGGGGAAGAAGAGTTCCAAGAACAGAAAGCAGCAGCACAAAGGTGCTGAAGCAGGAAAGTGCGGGATGGCGAGGAGGTTCTGTGCTTTTCTGTTCTTCATAAACAACCCGTGCTGGTACGAGCACGAATGCTGGGAAAAGACAAGCGTTCAGTTTATTTGTAATGATGCTGAATCAAAATTACTTTTTACAAACTTCACACTCTGATTTGAGGAGTTGCACAGGACACAGGGGAGGTTTCCTGGCTTCTAAGCTGCTAGAGGTTGAATTGTGGCTGTGCCGCTAACTGCCTGTGAGATCCTTGACCCCTTCCTGCCTTAGTTTCCCTTGTATAAAACGAGCCTCACAATAGTATCAACTATGTGGGATTGCTCTGGTGATTAATAGAGTTGGCATTAATGAGAAGCTTGGAGCTCTGTGTGACACACAGCAACCACTCAGACATAGCAACTGATAGGTCACCGCTGCTGCTTCCATCATTTTTTTTTTTTTAGAGACAGAGTCTTACCCTGTCGCCCTCGATTGAGTGCTGTGTCGTGACAGCTCACAGCAACCTCCAGCTCTTGGGCTTAGGCAATTCTCTTGCCTCAGTCGCTTGATTAGCTGGGACCTCAGGTGCCTGTCGCAACACCCATCTATTTTTTTTGTTGCAGTTTGGTCAGGGCCAGTTTTGAACCCGCCACCCTTGGCATATGGGGCTGGCACCCTATCCACTGAGCCACAGGTGCTGCCCATGCTTCCATCACTATTATATGAGTTGGAGCCTCACCTGTGTATTCCTCAGGTGTGTTGTGCATGCTTTGGGTGTGTTTGCATGTATATGTGTGTGTGTGTGTGTGTGTGTGTGTGTGATGTGTTTGTATGCAGGTGTTGAGAGTGTGGGACTTAATTTATAAAATTGTTATAGGAATTAGATAAACATCCCAGTGCTCAGCATATGGACTCAATAAATGTTTGTTGTCCTCCCTTCATCTTAAGGCAAAGAAAAACAGCACAGGGCTTTCCTTTTTCACTCACTATTAATGGGTTTTTTGGCTGACTCATTAGAATGAGGGCAAGGGAAAAACATTCTATAGACTCAAACTTGGAAACTTGTCTGCCCTTAGCACCACCAGTGGAGTGAAGGAATTCTCCATGGAGGGTTTTAGGCATCACTGCGAGGCAAAGAATGGAAATAGGGCAGCTAAGGAGGAGGGAAACGAAACGAGGGAGAAAGTGAAGAAATAAATAGGGAAAGGCACCATGAAGGGGAGACTGCCTTGGGATGAGGCCCCAAACTAGGAGTCCCTTTCTGTCAAGACCTTGAAAAACAGAATAGATGAGATTAAAGGAGTTCATAATCAAGGGGCTGGATCAGAGGGTCCTAGTTCTGTGAGTCTCCAAGTTCAGGTCCTCTTCCTGGTTGACTGTCCTGCTGGTGCATAGACAGACCTGAGTTAGTCTGTTTCTGCCTCTGCTTAACGAGCTACAAATACAAAAAAAGGGTCTCTTTCTTATAATACGAGGTCAGACAATTAAGTTTCTGAACTCCTTCTAGAAAAAGTGCTACATACCACTTGGTGAATATCACCACGATCACCTTCGAGGTACTCCCCTTGGGAACCTATGCACTGATGCCAGCACCTAGTCCATGCTTCAGAGCAATTTTTTGGCCAAGGGGAGCACTTCAAAGGTGACCATAGTGATGTCCAGCAATGTGGTATG